TAATGATAATGATAATAATAATAAAATAATAATGATAATTATAATAATAATAATAATAATAATAATAATAATAATAATAATAATAATAATAATAATAATGATAATGATAATAATAATAATGATGATAATGATAATGATAATGATAATAATAATGATAAATAATAACAACCAAATTAAAAACACCAAACAAAACGGTTAAAAACAACCCAACAAAAAGACAGACATGAAAAGAATCCTAAAAATGACAAATAGAATGCCAACAAAAAGTACAATAAATGATGAACTAGAGAATAGTAACTCTTTAAAAAGAATATTATCAATAAAAACAGGGATCTATAGAAGAAGCACAAAAAACATTCCATATTAATTTCTATATATTTTGTAATTTAATCATTAAATAAATTATAGTTAACACTCTCAAAACGAATAATATAAAATTTGAATATATTTTTATAAGTAAGGTAATTTTCATTCAATAAATCAATTTTGTAAAAATAAATTTAGTCCAATCACATCGGTTAACTCGGTATCAAAATTAAATTTAAGATTATACTCAATTCTAAAGGTGTGAATAAATATGTTGAAGTTATAAAGATGAATTAGGCTAATCACATTTCTTAAAATTGAGTGGATATATTTTTATTTTACTTTTTATAACAAGTGAGAAGAAACAGGTATATATACTTTAATCATTTAAATTTATTTTTATCTCTGAGTATATACTTATCGGTTCCCAACTTTTTTGTGTGTTAATAACCATTCAATTTAAACCAATGAAAATCAACATTCCCCAAAATAACACCAAACATTGTTTTTCTTTTCATATTTTGGAGAGACAAACAACAACGTTCTTACCAAGGATGTTTTTCTGTCATTTCACGAAGCTCCTTCAAACATGGGTGCTCTCTTGGAAACACACTCGTCTCTAGTATATACTGCACAACACAAGTAAAAATCCTCAACAATAATTTCACATAAATAAAAATGTATGATGGAAAAACAATTAATTAAAATTTCTATTATGTGTAAAAAACATGAAATTAAAATAGATAATAGTGAAGAATGAATACCTGATAAAGTGCATCACTTTGAAGGAGACTCTTGTGAGCAAGTTCATTATGTCCAATGGGTTTGATTTCTTGTTTCTCTTCATTGTTGATAGCCATCTCTTGTATGTATTAATCTTAATTAAAAATTTTTTTTTGGAGTATATAAGAAAAAGCTCTCTCAATGATGAGAATAAAAACTCCAAAATGGTGTCAGTCGTGTCTCTTAGACAATGTCCTTAAATTTTGATATGCTTGATGATATAATCTAATTTAATATATTTTTAAATATTTCTTAGTACAGCTAGAAGGGTTTGGTAAGAAGTAACAGATAACTAGATTCCTTTACACTAACTCTCCAATTATATTATTAACTTTGTTAGTTATGAACATGCATTTGGTGAAGTCAACTATTTCTGGCAATTCAACTGCTCTTTATTACGGTACTACTTCATCAAAAGTAAATTTTAAGTTTATACTTTTAGAGTTATAACATCAAAAGAATTTTTTATCCTAATACTCATTTTCTTCGACTTAAATTTTAAAATAATTAACTTTCCTTCATATATTTCAAACTACTTAATTGTCATAAAAGAAATTCAGTTAAAGCAATTACCGCTTGCTCAGTTTAAGGTGTGCCAATTAATTCGTCTATAACTTTTAATTTAATTTTTTTGATTTTTATAAATTTTCCTAAAAATTTGACGTTCTTACCAATTATCTTATATAAAATTATGTTTAAATGTAAGCAATACAAAAAATATATTTAAAAAAAACATTAAATTTGTAGAAAAATCAATAAAAATAAAAACAAAATTAAAAAAATATAGAGGTGCCAATTCAATTGGCACTCTATTAAATTTAGGAGCAAACATCAATTGTTTTAACATGCACTATATATATATATATATATATATATATAATATATATATATATATATATATATATATATATATATATATATATATATATATATATATATATATATATATATATATATATATATATATATATATATATATATATATATATATATATATAATATTATATATATATAATATATATATATATATATATATATGAGAAAATTTAGTTATTTAGGGATTTAATTTGGAGAATAGGAATCTTTGGGTAAAAAGTTTACCATAAATTGTTATGTTGTAATCAAACCAGGAGGAAAATTAATATAAAAGTAAAAAAAAAGAATAGTACTGTATGCCCATAACTAAATTTAAACATAGTTGAAAGAGTTTTTTTAATCATTTCCAGTGTTTTGGTATCATTTCCCATAGTTTAAAAATAAATTATTAATATAAATGCAGGTATCTAAAAATTGGCACATTAGTTTTTATTTATTTATAAATCAATAAAAGAATATATTAAAGAGAAAGTCAATGACATAAGATATGTTAACATGTCATAAATTTCTAGCAAAGATACTTGAAAGATATACTTAATACATGAATATAATAATAATATTTAACTCTCAATATAGAGATTTTTAGATACATTTATTTATCATAATTTATGTGTAATTCTATGTTTAAACTTGAAAGTTTATTTGCCTGTCACTTTAAGAGCGCTTTCATTTTAATGTGCTTTGATCTCTTTTATTATCTTGTAGTATACCAAACTAAAGTGAATCTACTACAATTTTATACTACCTCATTCCACTTTAAAGTTGAAGTTTGTGTTAGTGTGAAGCCATTTTTGAGTACAATGGAGTGTTTGGTTTATCTGAATTGTATAGTATATTCTTCTATTCTATCATATTTCTTCAAAATTGATTGGTTTGGTAAGTAATTTATTTGTCTCTCTTTTTTTCTCTCAAATAATTTCTTTTTGTTTTCACTATAATATCTAACTACTAGATCGATTAATCGATTCGGATCAATTCTGACGTTAAATAATTTATATTTTTCCTAATCACAGTTTTAATGATCGAACCGTAGTCATTTCTACTAAATTTAGCATTAATCACTCCAGATCTAACTAACGATTTATATATATATATATATATATATATATATATATATATATATATATATATATATATATATATATATATATATATATATATATATTATATATATATATATATATATATATTATATATATATATATATTATTCTTGTGTATTTGTAAATATCAACAAACATGGTGCTGAAAGATTGATTGGTAAGGAAATACTAGTTTGAATAAAAATTTGTTGAAGATTTTGTGATTCTTTATCGAACATGTGCATGCATTTGTTGGATAGGAAAATTCTTCATGGTACTAGTATTTTTGTGTTCCATAGACTTTTTGTATGCAATCATGCATCAATTTTCATCAATAATAGTCATTTTTCCACGGTGCACCCAAAACCAAGTTGAAAATGATGCTTACGAGATTTTGATAAGGCTTTGGACTTTCCAGCTTAGTTGAATGCAAATGAAAGCTGCTTCCGAGAATAATTTCTCGGATTCTACTTTACCTTTGTAAGTTCTTCATGCGTTTCATAAATTTTCATCCGCAGTGTTTTTGTTTCTACATCTTAGGATGCTAGTAAATAAAAAGGGACACACTACAAAAATATATGTCCCCAGCGACATATATTAGCGACGTGCTTATCACGTGGGTAGTAGCGACGTGATAACCACGTCGCTAATATATTTTAATGACATTTAATGGAATCTGATGAACGTTGTTGGGAGGGAAGTTTGAAATTTTGTAGCGACGTGTTAGCCACGTCGCTAAATTTTTGGGGGGAAAATGCGCAGTGTTGGACAGAGAAAAGTATTTATGGTTGCATTGTAGCGACGTGATTATCACGTGGCAACGTGGCGACGTGACAGTCACGTCGCTACTAGAAGTTACAAATGTTAACGTTTTGATTTACAGTAGCGTGCTTCTTCTTCTTCCTTTGCTTTCCTTTGCTTGCTTCCATTCCATTACAGCAACTCTCACAAACTCAAACCCAATTTGCGAATTAATTTTCTTCCATTCCAATTTGTTGAAGAAATCTAAGGTATGCATGTGATGTTAAATGTTTATTTCGTTTTATCTTTAGTTTTTATACTGGAATTTAATTAACATGGTATTTGTTGGATTGTTCCTTATTATTTGTAGAGAAATTTGAAGAACACCAAGAACTAGAAGACGCAAATTTATTGAAGAAATTATATAGAGGTATTTATGCATTTTTTTTTAGATTTTATATGTATTATATAGATTAGATTTGTATATGTATTTTGTGGTAATTAGGAATATATGTATATACTGTTAGTAGTATAAAATTACTGATAATAAAAAAAATTTTAAAAACATATTTAATAACATATTTAATATATTTTTTGCATATGTAATTTGTATATGTAATTTGCATATTTTTTGCATATGTGATTTATATATTTTTTAGTAGTATATTTGTATATGTAATTTGCATATTTTTTAATAACATATTTACTATATTTTTTAAAAAATTTTAGAAAACATAAATTTAATAACATATTTAATAACATGTTTTTTATAGATGTAAATTGTATTTATTATAATAGTTTATTTTTTTATTTATATGTTAAAGATATGGAAAAAATATTATATAATAGAATAACAATTTATAAAAAACATATTTAAAAAACGAATATATATATTATATATTATTTTAATATTATTGTTATCTATAATAATAAATAGTATGTATCTTACATTATTTGTTTTCTAATATATTATGTATATTATAGTATATTTAAATAGTATGTATCTTATATTATATATAATAAAAAGTAAATATGTTATATTATTGTTTTTTGATATTATTGTTATGTAATAAAAAATTATATATTTTACATTTGAATATTATTTATATGTTAGTATATATAAAAAAAGCAAAATTTATATTTCTAAGAATAGTATTAAATAGTTTAAGAATATTTCTAATGAAAAGACAATGATTGTATAAATGTGCAGTAT